GAGAGAGAGAGAGAGAGAGAGAGAGAGAGAGAGAGGAGAGAGAGGAGATGAGAGAGAGAGAGAGACGATGAGGACGAGAGAGAGAGAGAGAGATATATATATATATATATATATATATATATATATATATACATATATATATGCATATGATCATGCATCGGTGATTCCAATAAAAAGCAAGTCATGTATCTCGTGCAAAATTAAGTACGCCTCAGTAAAATAAGCTCAGTTAGACAGGCTTCAAGATGCATGCAGGCCCCTGTAGTTTACTTCCAGGCACTCAAGGCATAGCTAACGTCCTCCACAAAGCGGAGAGTCCTACGTATCCCCAAATCCCCAGTGAAACGCAAGAATGAAATTGTTTGTTGATTGTTGGGACATGCTGACGAATGAGCAGGGCTTTTTATATAATTTGTCGTGCCTTGTTGTGTTGTGCTTTGATGATAGAAGTGTTTCCTATGAATTCCATGCGTGTCAAAGTTGTTTGGTGGCACGGATCATGTGTTGTTTTGGAGCCCCGTGTTGAAGGCGTATGGCGAGTTGCGTGGAAAGAGAAGCAGTTGCGACGCCAATGTAGTTTACCCCACTGAGCCTGCAATCTTCGTGCGGACAGAATTGATCAACTACATTTGTGTACTGCAAAATACCATTTTTGGCGGTCATGTTATTTTTGATCAAAAGGTTGCTTGTTTTTCTATTCTTACAGTAGATGGTGAGTAAAAGGTAGTCTGTCATGCTGGCGCATGTTACATTGTCTTGGATGATTCCATGGATGACTCGTTTGTCCACGTTGTGATAGGATGACATATGATTGCAACAGTAGAGTTTGATCATGCTTTCGCCGTTTTGTTGCAGCTTTGGTTTTTGTGTCACTTTCAGTATCAATATCAATATCAATATCAATATCAATATCAATATATATATATATATATATATATATATATATATATATATATATATATATATATATATATCTGTGGGTGTGGGTGTGTGGGTGTGGGTGTGGGTGTGTATAGATAAATTATTATATCCTGTCTTACTTGCATGTCCGAAGGCAAAAGAGGGGTCCAACCTCACTTGTACTGGTATGCACCGACCCGTTGTAGGCGGAAGAGGTCCATTCTGGCGAATGACTCCCGCTCAAGCGATGTGAGTTCATGCTAGTGTCGTCGAGTAATGACATATTTTTCAGGGCATTACCTGAGGAACCAGCGTTTCCGACAGCATCTAAGCCAGATGTAGAGCGAGTCGATGCCAGCCCTGGATCAGATGTGGTATCTGCTCCACCAATGACAGGCGAAGCCGAAGACGTCGCAAGCCCACGATCACGTGTAGTTTCAGCTGCACCACCTGCTGCAGATGACGCTTCGCTGCCAGCGCTAGATGAAGCGTCAGAAGACGTCAGCCCAGGACGGGACGTGGAGTCAGCTCCACCAACAGATGAAGCAGAAGTCGTTCTCGGATCAAATGTCGATGAGGCATCGGCTTCGCTGATGGAAGATGAGGCAACATTCGTCAGTCCAGAGCTGGACGTAGCAGTTGCTCCATCACCGGCAGATGGACCAGAAGTTGTCCCCTGTCCAGAATTAGATGCGGCACCAGGTTCACTAGTACCGGAGGCGGATGAGGCCGAATTGGTTGTCTGTCCATAACCAGAGGTGGTACCTGCTTGACCACTGGAAGAGGAAGCAGCATTGGACGACTGTTCGGTGCCAGATGTGTCACCTGATTCAGCTCCCATGGCAGGCGTAACAGAGATGGATGTCAGCCCAGATTCAGACAAGCCCTTTGAGCCCCCAGAGCTGGTCATCGTTGTGCCAGCCGATCCTGCCGCGGCGCCCCCTCCTGCTCCATCAGTTGTTACTTCTTCTGTGCATGCCCCGCCGACTTCTTGCAGGCCGTCGCGGCAGGCACAGACACCACTCCTGCACTCGGAATCATCTACGACGAACGTGCACTCATCCTTTATCTTGCAGAAGTCGCCGAGTCGTGCTGGAACAGATGCGATGTTTGTCCTTGAACTTAAAGCAGACACACCTGGCATTACGTCCAGGGTACAAAAGCGGTGACAATAACATTTAAAATTTCATAGCTTCCATAACCCAACGTTGCAGCAAAGCCATGTAGGCAGAGGGCAGGTGCGAACGCATGTATATGACGATGTATGCATATATATATATATATATATATATATATATATATATATATATATATGTATATATATTTATATAGCCAATCTGAGTCGTCCATAACCCTCAAAGGTAATCATGAAGTTGTATCAGTGGCTACGAAGATAAAAGCACACACCCAATGTTAACCGCGCGCCGGGGCTTGATGTGCCTGCAACCAAAACCAGATGCGCATGAGCGGGTTATCCGCTCGTAACAAGCTACAGGACTTCATCGGCGGACCGTCTTTTCCAATAGTTTTGGATCGTCACGTTTATCACTCCTAAAACGCACCCATGCCATCTCTGTACTGCAGGTCGTTTCCTGTGGTCACAGCGCTGGAAAGATAGACCGGAGCGCCTCTTGACGCGAAGGTTACGCAGCCGGTCGCGCTGTTGTACTGGTAACTGAAGCACAGCGGGTCCGATAGGCAATGAATCTTGCAATTGCCTGAAACAAGGACGAGGTGTGGGTACTGTTAGACCGGGCCTTACGCTTGGTCGGAGTCTAAGATCTGACATTGGCTGGGCCATTTGGCAGCATTCGAGTTGCCTTTCTGCTCGTTGCCTATCTTGGGAGCCAATGGACCAATGTCACCGATAGCAGTGTATAAATCAGAAGTCCTGGATTCTTCAAGACATAAATTATATGAAAATGACCAGTGATGGGTTACCTGTGATGACATAATCAGAAATGACGTTAATGCGGGCAGCAGCCGAAACATGTGAGCTGATGGACGTCCATTATAAACAGATATGCACGCGGTCTGAGCTCATTGTCCGATGAATTTTGTTCAAACGTGCTCACATTTACGAGCATTGCTCGCACGTTGTCTCACAGCGCAGTCGTCTAGGGCAGGTGAGTGCATCAGACATGGAGGATTGTATACTAAGGTATTTACCAGTAGCCAGTCTGCAAGTAGTGATTATGGTCCTAGCCGGCACCTAATTTGACGATGCATGGACTTTGCCGTGAACGGAAAACGGCGGCGCACGTTGCTTGCATCGAAAGCTGGTACCAGTCCTGGTATCAGTCAAGCATTACTGGATCCGAGCCTGTCTTCAATGGAGCTACCAGATCCAGGCGACTTTTGGACTACATTGCATTTAAAATATGAAAACTGCGCTTCGAGTCTGGCTTGGTCACGGAGGGGCCCGAACATGCAAGGCTCCCTGGACCACTTGGCTGCGCCTGTCGCCAACATAACATACCAGTGATGCTTGTCAGCTTCTTTCCTTCTCATTACTTGACGATCTCATTGCTTCACGATTTTCAAAACATGCCATCGTCTCACGGTGCCTGCGAGGTGCGAAGTGTGTCGATACTAGTAGTTGTGGAGGCTGTAACATCTTCCACTGACCACTTATTGTATTGTTACAAAATAATTGCGTTGATACAAATTATGCAATGATGTCGTGTATTAGGTATAATGCTGAGAATTGGGTCACAGTCGAGTGTTCAGAATATTGCGATATTTTACCCAAACTTCAACTTCCACAAATGGCACAATGCTGAAATCCCCTCTTGGATAAGCAACCATCCTATAATGTCATAATGAAGCTGTTAACCATGCATCCTGAATGATCTCATTATTTCAGCATAAGATTGAGCACAAATCACAAGGATGCTTAATCCCACCGACCAACTGTAAATATTTAGGTCAAACACATTTGCGCCAATTAACTACATTTGCTGCTCACATTGGATACATTTACCATGCACAGGCTACTGTTAGATACAAGGTTTGTGTTACAGGCGATCGCATTGAGCAATTGCCTTTTGTAATGCCCCCCCCCCCTCCGCCCAAACAGCGTTGACATGCATTAGCCAATATTAGTCCACCGTTTTTAATGTTGTTCCTAGAATATTACAAACAAAAAAATTAAGGTAAAGGCTACTATTGCATCATGATCACCTACTTCAGGCGACATTTGATGGAATTGACCGGACAATTAGATGAATGTAACAAAACCACAAAATTTAATAGCATTTCGTCAAAATGTAGTGTTTCAGACCCAATGAGAAACAACAAGGGATGAAGGTGGGTGGGACGGCCCTCAGCACAGCCTGCCAGTAATTCACACACATTGATTTTACTGGTCTGGAAAGGCATAACCTTACCATTTCAAGTAAGCTGAATTATGCCTGACAACTCAAGCAATTTTTGACATCGCATGCCCCTCCCCCCTTAAACGGTGCAGGCTAATCCTGTATTTGCCTTAATATCGTAACAGGCATGTGCATAGCATTGGATCATAACAAACACTTCCATCATCTTAGACAGACATTCCGTTCTCAACAAATGCATCTGATGTCATCATGCAGCTGTGCTGAATTGATATAATTGCCGCTTGATCTATTTCATGGCTGGTAACACCCCTGTAGATAATGGTGCAGGGTTATTATTGCATATGTGGAACATTCAGATACCAATAAGATAATAATCCCAGCAAATCCCATTTCATATGATGAAAAAACTAAATTATCAGCTCAAACACTAATATACCTGAGAGCACGTTGAGCAGTCACTTTGCATTCAACACTCAACAGCAGTAGCCTGTGTCACAATGCTCGTAACTGACGCGCTGTACAGTAACTGAGTCATTACATGATCAACCATTATGCAGAATGTTTGAAGCGAGTCACGATGTGTACACCGAGACATAATCTGACTTGACAAGAAGCAAGATATATCAGATTAACCTGAAGGTATCTGAGATTACCTTAACACAATCCGACCCCCCCCCCCCCCCCCAACCACCGGTTCCAATACTGTGCCGCACTTTAAACGTTTTGCGACTGTCGCCACATCAAATCAAAGATGCCACTAGCAAAGAACTGCCAGCTTTTGGTGTAACATCCTAAATCTGGTCCTAATCCCGATTCTGATATACTTACAGTATGTGTTGATGCCTAATAGTCAAAACTTTGGAGTAACCAGTGTTCTATTGCCCTGCGGAACACGATACATAGTCCAGAAATCAGGGCGCTCACTACAACTAATGGCCAGAAAACTGCTGACCGAACGGATCCCTGGCTGCTGTTGGATTCGGTTGGCTCTGAGCAACGGTTGTCGTTCTCCTTGCGATAGCGAAAAACTGGTGCTAACCATCGTACCCGATGGGTGGTGGGCTTGCTGTACTAGAGGAAAATGCCCGCTGTTGGACTATGGGGGCAGACCGTTGGCTTGCTGTTGGACCCTCGCCCTAATTCCTCGTTTTTCATAACGCAGACTGATAGGCGGGGGGGGGGGGGGTGAGGTCGATGAACTCCTGCCCTTTTCAACCTTAGAAAGACAGAGCTTGGAGAAAAACGTAAGTGGGTTGGTTTCAGCAATATCTCACCATTGGTAATAGTTTCCATGCGTCTAGATCGGCCGCTGCTCGGAAGCCAGCAAAGCCAAAGACACGTTGTTGGTATCAAAACAAGCGCAAACAATGCATTATAGGCCACTGAAAATTTGAGCACAATTGCACAGCATTCCAAAAAGTTATCCTCCAACAACCCCTGGGGGAGGGGTCGCACGACCCCCCCCCCCCCCACACACACATATGGCGACGGTTCACACCACACACAAGTTTTGATTTATACACATGCACCAGTCATTCGAAAAACTTGTCCTTTGATTGCAAAGAGTGCTTAGCTGCCTGTGGTGACTTTAACGCATGGGGCGCCTTTTCGGGAAAGTTTAAAGGGGGTGTTCCACATTTGTCTTGGGTTTTGACTTGAAATAGCCAAGGTGAAGATCATTCGGTGCGGTTACGGCCCCACCTTCATAAGGCCCAAAACCCACTTGTTTCCTAGCTACACACCCGCGAAGATCAGCAGACTTTTTCCGGCAGACCGCTTTAAAGTCACTCAAACATGCCTAATGTGACAGACATTTCCTTCCCATACTGCCACCTCACCTCATTGGCCGTGCAGCCTTCATGACCAGGGAACGTTTAAACGTCACATTACATTATGGTTTGGCGTACGTGAGCACAGCTTCGAAGTACAACGAACTCTGACTAACTGCCGACTATTCCCGTACAAGCAATGTGGGATTAAAGCATGAAACACTTTTTGTCCTATATGATACAAGAAGCTAGACATGTGTGCTAGATATTACGGAAATAAGACTTATGTCTTGAAATGTGCAACATTCCAATAAACATTCGCTCCAAAAAGAACACACAAACAACATTCCAAAAAGAACACCAATACGTACAAGCAAGCTTATTTCACCTTATGTTTATAAGCGCGCTAAGGGCGACGGTATTCACCCGTTTCCCTTGACGCTATACCAATACTCGATTGGTCATTCCTATGTCCCTAAACAATACGCCCTGCTTCTATACTGTTCTGCAGTGATGTTGAGGAACGCGTGATTGGGTGTAGATCAAAATTGGGCCAAACGTTTATTTTAAAGGGAGTGTCCCACCTTTTAGGCATATTTCAAACACAAACTATAGTGGAATATCAAGACTAGTTACGTTTTATAATAGCACCGAGTAGTGTCACTTCAGCAACGTCAAGCCAGGATAAGGACATCAATTTTAATTATTTTCGTTTCCATATCGCCCCGTCAACGCTCTGTTACAGACCCACGCTTCTTCCCTGTAGTCGCGACCACCGTCGTCATGACAACCCCCGTGCGCACCTCCATTGGCGTAAATAAAAGAACGTTTGTGATTGGCCCAGCGGGCAATGGCCAGGTACTGAGAAGTTGGTTGGTTGTAGATTGACCAGTGCGTCGCATGAATCATACTCCCATGCCCAAAGCCAAAATGTGCCCCGAAAAAAGCCACTGGGATGAACGCAATAGGGCAGAAGCCAAAGCCATATTATATCGTTTTGTTGAATTTGTGCGATAGCAACTTCATGTTTTCGTATATCTTTATCTAAGCAGTGTTTCAAACTTCCGCAACATTTCAACCATCTTGACACATTAGTGAGGTGCGAACATTCGATGCACACACGTTGTAAAAAGCAATACAAACGAAATAATATGCTATTTCCATAGCGGTGAAATCCAAATCCAAGTCGAAATTCTGAGCTATTCAGAAAGATTTCACGGAAACTGCTCTTATTGAGAAAATGTACACGTCTGATGTAGCATTAAGTGAAGAGTATAAAAAGATGGGATGCCCTCTTCACATGGCCGGGCCTCAAGCCGTCTTCGCAAAAAGATAGAATCAACTGGGCTGGTCTTATCAGTTAAAGCATTTCCTAAGAACATTTCCATACGATTCACAGCCATATCTCAGCGACGGTTTGCGAGCACTAGTCTCCAACCTTGTTACGCTTTGGTTGCGCTGCGTGAAACCCCGCTACCCTTCTCCTTTGCACTCAAGCGCATTTGTAGACAGACTCTTATTGCTTAGACGACACCATAACAGTGAACCTGAGTTTGAAATGAACGGCAACGATCTGTCCCTTCCCCATTTCCTAGCTTGCTCGCCTCAAACTACAGATGGAGGTGTGCATTGGCAGAGTGGTTAGAGCCGTTGGCTCCCACGTTGATGGTCCATGCTCCAATCCCGGTTACACTATGGTCTCTGGGTGCTAATAGGCCACTGCGGTCTCTGGGAGGCTTCATGGGCGGAATTGTAAGGAGGTGCATCACTTTCCCCTTTACAAAAAAGCTAAGGCAGGAACTAACGATGGAGACAACCATTTCAACATAGTCACCTCTGTAGAGCCAATAAAACCTTTCCACTCTGCGATTTTACATTCAAATGGACCACCGGTTCAACGACTAAACCTTTTTCGGATGGCAATTGGTCCTCTCCGCGGCCCAGTCCGAGGCTCGGCTACTCACAGGCACTGATGGTGCCGTTGGAGGAGAGGGGCTGGCCGCCGTGCTGCCAGGCCGCTCCGATGGTCGCCGGCGGCGAACGCAGCACGTAGTTTCTCGGCTCCAGCGGCTCTCCTTGGCGCACACGGCTGTCATAGTTGGACAGACCTCGGACCGTGGCCAGCCGCAGCCCCACGCACAGCGCCAGCTCCAGCGGCCGCATGGTGCTGCTGCTGGTGGCACTCTGCCGGCGCAGACCATAAGCAGCCCCGCCCACCTGAGACACGGTCGCTGGGCGACCTTGGCCGAAAGCCTCGGCCAGTGTCGGGGGATTACGTCGGTTGGCTCGCCAGCTGGTTGCCACCACACCGAGCCCAATATCGAACGACCTTGATCCGGATATTGGATTGGCATGACCCGGACAACGAACGGGCTGATCTGATCACCGAAACCTTGATATAGATGAAAAAACTTGGATATTAAGGTAGGAGTCAAACCCCTAGAGGTACACACGTGCATGCACTGCTCGCTGCGACGTAATCGTCGAAGTTGAGTGAACCTTAAGGTAACATACTCGCGTAAAAGTTAAGGATGGTTTTTAGGAGAAGCTGAGTGCTTGTACCCCGTGGTCCAGATGTACACCAAAGCACCTGTTGCATCTTGTCCATAAATCAATTAAGCTACCAGCTTTTCTATCTAAAAGCTTGCTAATTCTTTCCATTTTCAAGCGTTTCGTAAACGTGCTATATTAGTCATGTTATATTATATATATATATATATATATATATATATATATATATATATATATGTATGTATGTATATATATGTATGTATAAATTCAACCATTCTGGTAAGCCAAAGCCAGAAAAGCCAAAAAAAAAACCGTGTCAGGCTTGGTGTCAGAGCACCCACAACGCATGTTGCAGGGGTTACTGGCAAGCCGACCGCATTGTGCCACATGACAGGGACAATGTCCGGTCAAAAAGTCATGTTGAAAGTTGAATTAAAATAATCAAATGAAAATGGGTGAACGAAAAAAGTCGACACGTCCACACCTCCTGCCGTGGACGTCTGTGCTGCTCGGTACCGTCTCAGAAAATGGTCGATATAAATTAAAGTCCAGTTGGAACAATGTCAACAAAATGGCCCAATGCGATTGTCGATTTTGACAGTTTGATTTGTGGGCATAACGCGGCTATGATTTATTTCCGTCTTCCGCCTGCTTTAAATCCTTGCTAGTAGCCCAAAGTGCAAGGACCCGCTACCGGGCTTCAACGTTGACAGGCAGTGACCAATAGTGACCAATACTCGGCACGGCACTTCCACCCGGCTCCACCTTGTCGTGGAGCAGCAAATGGATGCGTTGCTATGCTAGCAATCCGGCCGACAGGCCTCACGCGGGTGGTCTTCGTAATGGCGTCGACTGTATGCGCGCAGCCCAGGCCTGGCGGGTCAACGCTGCCTGCCAAAAAGGGCGGTTATTTATACCCTGGCGGCCGCCCTAGGAATTATTTTGGAAAACCTGGTCTTTACACTTTCTGTACTTTGGACAATGCTTGTATTGGAATTGTTGTACTTTGGGCATTCTGCACACTGGGCATTATGATACGGATTCCTTCCACTCTGCGCTATTTTGGAATTTGTTTCTCATTTTGGACATTGCGTTGTTTGGAAATTATGCACTTAAGGCTTGCTGTTCATTGGACATTCTGTACTGTGCAAATTGTGCTCCTTGGACATTGTGTACTCTGGACAATATGAACACCTCCATTCTGAGCCATTTGAATAGTTACTTCTCATTTTGGACGTGCCGTACTTTTGACATCATGTACGTTTGTACATTCTGCACCTTGAGCAATATAATACGGACCGACCGCCTAGCATAAAAAGTCCGGATTACTAGCAGACCACCGTCCATGAAAGTAAGTTTGTATAAGATGGGCAAAGTCGACCGGTTGATCATGAAATGAAATAATGCAAAAAAACTTGGAAACATCGTCTCATTTTTAAAACGGACCGGAATAGGTCCGGGTGAGATCCAGTTCACTGGCAAGAGCGGCCCCGCGAATTTTTGATGAGAGTGACGATGTCGTTGAACCATTACAGGAGCACTTGAATGAAAAAAATTGGTTAGAAGTTACTCTTTTTTAGGCTGCACCACCGTAGGAAATGTGGGCGCGGAAACTGTGGATGGAGCAGAGGCTGAAACCCACAACTTTCTGAAAGTCTGGTATTGGTGCTGAGGGCATTGACTGGAATGAAATTTGAATAAAAAAGCTATCATCCCCTTGTTGTACAACGTGGAGGGATGTCCTTTGCCCGACAGATGCATGAAGCATCATCTGAACCAGGTAAACATATCATGCATCAGGTTTGAATATGTGCGTACACTGTGACAAAACATCACAGGGTGATACTTCATATATATATATATATATATATATATATATATATATATATCCCTCTCTCCAACAGCAGCAATATGGTTTGGACACCCGAATCCCCCCAAAAATGTTTGTTTATGAAAAGATAACAACGTAAGGCTGGCTAGTCATTTCGGAGGTGATAACAGCATCCAAACGACACGATACACAAGGATCAAAAGAGCTCATATACTCCTTCCAGGTCTGCACCAGCGCCGTTTATGGTGCGCCCCTAAATTACGTGGTGCGTTTAGGCTGACGAAAACGATTGCGACATGAGCTGGATCCCCTTGATCCAGGCGAAGGCCATGCATTTTACACACTTCTGCTGCACCAATCCTCCGTAGGATTGGTTGGAGCGCATTTTCTACGTGACCTTGAGTGAGAACGTTCCGAGCTTGAAAAGAGGGAACAAAGGAGAAAAATGGGTATCTTCAGACCGCATAGTTGACGTGTTGAAACACGATGGAGTTAAAACAAAACACATTCAAAGCCTGTCTGATAGCTCAGTTGGTTAGAGCGCCTGTCTCCGATCCACCCACCCGGGGCGGGGTGGGTTTGAGCAGCTTAGGCGCTTGCTATTTGCCTTCGTATTTGACAGGTACGGTGTGCGGTCGGTAGCAATGGCCGTGCTTAACGTCAGGCAATGTCAGGTGGCGGGACGGGCCGTGGCGTGCCTTGTGGCATGTCCAGCTTTCGCCACCATATTCTTGGACATGAGATTGCAAGATCGTTGGATCACACAACAAGCACTGCTTGGCGTGATCTCGGATGCCAGGAAACCATCCATTCAAAAAAAAATGCATGAAGTCTTTAAAAAGGCGTATACTTCATGGGTAGTACGGGGACATTCGTGACGCTTAAAGATTCTACAGCGCACCGTGAAAATGAAACAACGGCAAAGGCACGTAGGCATAACCTTTCTCACTGAGAGAAATGCGAAATTTCCAAAGAAATTATGAGAATTTGGAAAAAAATCCGGCGAAATCACTCGGCGACTAGTGTAAGCACTTCGGCTCAGGTGGTCATGTTCCCCTTGGCAATATTCTTGTCTATGTCCAACAATATTCTAGTGCTTGTTTGCATATTGTCGACAATTTTAAGCGGCGTTGCAGTTTACGTCATTGGTATAGGATAGCTGAAGTGAATTATTGTAGAAAATTTTTGCTTCTTACTTTTTTGCATTGAACTAAAAACTCCATGATATACCTCAGTTATGCTTTCTAAATACCTCAGTCTATGATTTTAAAGAAGTTTCGGGAATCGAAGGACATAAAGCGTTTAACGAACGCGCTTCATTAGTAATGTTCCAGAGAAAATGGGCTCAATCACTCAGCACCAATGTTCTTAAGATGGTTCGCGCCAGTCCGGTCAGCCGCTGCCGGAATTCTCGCTGAAACCCGTTCCGCTATAAGTTATAACACCGTTAGATGCTTACGGATTACACCAAACCAGTAAATGCACTATCTGCACACGCCGGGACGCTTCTTTAATATTCACCAGATCTCGCCATGCTTAAACAAGTTCGAATGGTTATGATGTTTAACTTTGACCGCAGTCTGATCTCTGCCTGCGACCTGCTTGCGGCTTCAAATTTCTTCCCGGGTACAAAACGGACTCATAAAAGGCACAAAACTTCGCGTCGCTCCTCTCCACCTTTTTTCCTAAGCCTCGGAAACAATCAAAGGAGTGAACTTCTGTTAGCACTGCCGAGCCGGGCTCAGACCCTGTCTTCATTCTGAATAAAACCTTCACTACCTCGTACAAATTCACCAAAGTCGTCCTTCGCATTGCCACTCCAGTACAGTAATGGGTAAACAGAATATAACACAGTGACGCTTTCTTGCGAGACACTTGCAAAGCAAATGTTTCAAGGCCGGGATTGAGCAAAAAAACACATACAGAATTGCCGGAACGTATCCAGTAACGTTCTAAACCTGTGGCATAAACACTACGGCGGAAGCGGTGATAGTGCGAGATGGGCATTGACAAGAGCGTACGAAAATGGCGATCGTACCTGGGGAAGAAAGGATTTCGCATATAAGTATGTACACTGCAATTCAATTTCAGTTGTTACCATTCTCTTCAAGTTCGCCTAGATATCCATAGAATGCAGGCGCATCCTGCTCCAATCACCTAACTCGGCTATATGTTCCAGGTGCGGAAAACAAAATCATTGAATGTGCTTGGCTAGCATAGGGAAAAATACCCGAGCGGTGTTTGGGCGTCTTTGTGGCATCGCACAAGTACTTATAGCAATGATTCCTACCAGTGTGAGGAATTTTGATTATGGTGAAATTCGGAATGGGGGCCTCTCGGTGAAAAAGTGCAAAAGCATTTTTTCTCCTGCAAGAAACTTGTTAGATAGAGGATGGACGATAGAGGTCACTGTCCCCTCCTATCTGACAGTGAAGGGGGACGTGTCCCCCGAGGTATGCCCGCTGGTCACCGGTGACCGATGGTGAGCCTAAAGCAGGCCATCCCGTCATAACCCCTTTCTCAGCTATGACTGAGCAAGTGTCTGCCATGCTAAACATTTGATGGGTGAATGATAATCAGAGACCAATGTTGAACTGGATATCTCACACGCAGGGTCTTGGCACCGCCACGCAGCAGAGAAAAACCGGAGATCGCAACGTGGTGGATGTCTCACCTCTTCGGTCATAAACGGAAACAACGTCTCGCCAGCATCTCGTTCCCTGCTTTGGCTGGCTCTCGACGAGAGGGCGACAATTATCTGAGGCAACAATCTTCTGAATAGTATCGTTGCCTGCGACAAAATCCAGGCTCGCTC